ATATATAACAAATTTTAGGCTCATAAATAAAAAAATATATATATTTTAAAAAAATCAAACAAACCGTGTATCGCACGGGCTTCATCTAGTAACTATTAATTATTGACATTTATCAAACTATACTAGCTCCATCTATTTAATTTAGTTATCATGTTTATACATTTTTTAAATATAAAATATTTGTTCTTACATATGGTTATATAGTACAATAATTATACAAATTTGAGTATAAATAGTTTGTTTTTGATTGAAAGTACAAAAAAAAATACGACTATACCGTTCATACTTCATAGACGGCGTCGTATGTAGTAAACTAATTACTAATGTACTACGTACATTAAGTAATTGCATGATTATGTAATGTAACGTAATGTCAAGCCCCCAACATGAAGAGTGAAACAAGGAGAAATGTAAAAGAAAAAAGAAAGAAGAAGTAGGTTGAAGTTTGAACATCTATCAAAAACTAATGTATGATTGACCATCATATAAATATTGACATTTAATCCCAAGAAATACTTTTACATTTACATCTTTAAAGATTCGAGGCCTTCGTTTTGACTGATCACTGCCTCAATATTGAGCCCTCACGTGCAATCCCACTTGACCATCTTATTCCCTCTTTTTATTTTTATTTTTTTATTTTATTTAATACTACTTCATTTGTGTTTTAATACTGGATTTAAAAGTGTAACACTTATTAAAACACACAGGAAGTACTCTGTAAGAGCTTGTAAAGAATATTACAAGCTTTTGCACTTTGAAAGGAGGGGTGGATGTTATTTGAATATGTGATCTCCTCAACCCAATGTTTAATATTCCATTTTAAAAGGAGGGGTGGATGTAATTCAAATCTGTAATCTTTTTGCCATGCTAGCTTTGATATTAAAGGGTCAACCCAATTAAAAGCTTTGAATGGTTGGGGTCTAAAATTATGTTTTATACTCTATCAGTTTTTTTATGATCAATTTTAATTATAAAGATCTCTGACTATAAAAATTCAAAAAAAATCCACTAATATAACCACAATTTATAAACATTCAAATCATACCTTAATAACTTGTGGATCTTGTTATACTCTTTTGACATATATTTTCAAAATTAACATTTTTTTTTAGACAAAAGCTAATGAGCGCCCCCGGGGCGTTAAATAAGAGAATTAAAGTGCAAATATTAGAGTATAATTAACATTAATTACACCGAACGACTCATGATTTTGTCATGAATTCCTAACTTAATATCATTTTAACCAATATAATTTATTCTTATCTAAGGCCCCGAGCAAGATCCTTTATATATATATATATATATATATATATATATATATATATATATATATATATATATATATATATATATATATAATATGTATTCATATCATACTTTGTATTAAATACTCACAGTTAGGGCTGTACAGAGTTTGGTCTGGACCGTAACCAAACCAGACCAAACCGCATTTTATTGGTTTGGTTTACGATTTGGAACACTACAAGAAAATAACCTTTTCGTAACGATTATTTTAACCTTTAGTATCGATTGTAATTGCAACAAAAAGCTTTCCCAACGAATGGTCATTCGATACAATATCCCCCGTTGTCTTAGCCTTTAGTAGTGGTTTTCAATATCGCTGGGGTTGGCCTCAATAATTGATACGAAAAACTACATCCAATCGTGGTGATTATTGTAGCGATTACAATGGCTATAAATGCTTAACTCATTTTCTTCAAAAAACAAAAAAACTTGCGTATGATCTTTACAAGATTCGAACATGCAACCTCAAATTCTTATATTAAATGTTTCACCAATAAGTTATGGCATATTTTATGTACTCTTTGTCAAACAATATTTATATATCTAGTGTTGAAAAGGTTTTTCGTATCGATTTTTAGGATTTAGTGACGATTGTAAATGATACGATTTCTCAAAATTATATAAATGTGTAAAAATAGTGTGGATATGTATTATTATGTTTTCCGTATCGATTTTATATGGGAAAACCATGGCGATTGTAAAAATGATACGACATCCTTAGTTATTTCACAAACATACTTGCATATTGTAGCGAATGTACAATCGCTACGAAATAATCGCTACGAAAAGTGATTTTTCTTGTAGTGGAAAAATACGGTTTGGTTTCGATTCTTTGGGAAATACGGTTTGCGGTTTGGTTTGGTTTTTCAAAAATTATAAACCAAACCAAACCGTAAACCAGTAAACCGCATTTTAATATTTATATAATATTTATAAAAATTAAAATAGTTATTATATATTTTTAAAAAGAAAAAAAAAATAAAAAAAAAACATGGAAAATCATTAGAAGACAACCAGTAATTCAGTATACTACTATACTCCAAGATCAGTTTAGCTCCGGCAATCATTAATATCGCATAATGTATGTAGCCCCTGATGTTGTCAAGTTGCTGCCAATTATTAAAAACTATAATGTAGTATGATTTTTTTTTTGACAAATGTATTATGTTTTTTCCACTGTTAATTTGTTATGTATTATTTTTATTATGTGTTATTGTGTTAGCACTTGATTAGTTGGTTGTTATTTTTATTAAAATATTGTAGTATAGTTTAATCCGTTTGGGCTAATTATTTGAACTTTATTATAAATTTAGTAATATTTGACAATTTTTAGGAAAAAATGTCATCTCATCATAAACCGCAAACCAAACCGCACCAAACCGCATTATTACGGTTTGGTTTGGTTTGGTTTGGTTTCAATATTAATATGGTTTGGTTTGGTTTGGAAAATTGACCAAACCGTATTTTGCGGTTTGGTTTGGTTTATACTCAAACCACACCAGGCCTAACCAAACCATGTTCACCCCTACTCACTGTAGTATATTCATGGTTAAAGATAAAATATTAAAAATTATAAATTTGAAATGTAAAGAAAAAAAGGGTAATAAATTAATAAGAAAAAAGGGTAATAAATTAATAATTAATTGATTTAACCCTCCTTTATCAATATAGAATTAAAATTCCCCCTTTTAATTTCACCTAGTCAATCGGGACCTGTTCACTGTTCTGATTTCAACTAACAATCTTAATTCTTGTTTGGGAGTATATATAATACCAAAGTCATCGTATAATAAAGTAACATTAAATAAAAAGGAGATGGAGCAATTAATTCTGTGAGTAGTCATCTTCCAAAGTTTCCTAGGAGTATGTTATGGCGGTTCATTTATGGATGGGATTACTTTTGCAATTTGGTTGTCTACTTGTCTTCACCATTTCATGCAACAAACCGCCTTATACAGTTATTGCTTGTTGGTTACTTTGATTAATTTATATGCATAATTTCCCATTAATTGTCGGATATTTGTGTACAAACAGGGACTAGTGTTACTCACTGTTACTGCTGTGTGTACGTACCCCTTTTACTATATGTTGTCTCAATTTTACAAAGTATACATTGAACGAGTAATCTTGCAACTTTGCAAGGAGTAGAATCTATTATCATTATTACTCAACTTATTTCACTTTTTCACTTGTTTCTTTGGTTTGCGAAACACTTTATTTAATGAAAAAACTTTTGTATACACCTGGTTTACACTAATATTAGTGTACATTGAGCAGTATAATGGTAATTTTTAGCTAATTTTAGAGTAATTTTTTGCCTTTTTTTTTATAACTTTAAACATAATACAATTTTTGTATAAATCGACAACAAATTTTTTTTTATAAAGGTAATTTAATTACACTCAATCACTAATAATGTACAAACAAAATGTTAATTTGAGTAATTTAATTTCTTTTTATATTCTATTAGTCCGTTTAGTCCTTATAGTTACTACCTAACAATTGATGCGGAGTATTATATATATAATGTCGTTAATCCTTGTTAAACACACTTTAAAATTACTTAACTATAACTTGTGTGTAATTACAATAAAAAAAAGGTAATTACATATATATATCAAAGATTTTATATATATCATTATATCTCCAAAATCAAGGGCTTGGATTAAAACAATAATAGTGATCAATTATTTTCATTGTTGAGAAATCATTCTGGATATTTTCACATCAATAAGATATAGTGAAGGATTTTTTTTATTTATTGGAAAAAAACTGAGAATAATCAAATTAAGAATCGTAAGGGATTTTTCTTTTTATCATCGGAAAAGATACGATCATGTATAAATATGATTATATGAAGTAGTAGTATAAAATTAAAACCTATACATACCACTATACCAGCATTGTATGACAGCATCCCAACCAAAAACATAACACACGAGGGCCGGATCCAACAGTGAGCTAGTACTAAAAAGTATATTATCATCATGCAAAATTTCGGATCAACGGTCAGTAAATTCATAGAACCTGTGTAATTAGTTTCTTTGATTAGTTTGATTGTACTAGTTATTAGTTACGTAAACATTCCATTATTTTATATGAGTACATTGTATCAGAACCTTCTAAACAAAACATTATTCCCAGAGGTGTACAACATAATTGTACATACAGTTACTTAGCTTAGTTTTATACACATATTGTATTCACTAGTTGACCACTTTATAATTGATACACGTCTGTATAATTATATCTCGTCAGTCGTCACCTTAAGATTAGATTTGTAGATGAATTAACTTTAAGTGCGGAAATTTCTTGTACCTCTACAGATAAGAATAGTATTTACAGATAAAACTTAATCTCAACTCTAAAGAAGATAAGGTGTCTTATGTCTACCCAATTAAATTGAGTTGGATTGACCTATTCAAAATTTCGGTCTACTATAAGTATATACACCTAATCCTTAATTAATTACATTCTATATTTGAAAATTATTCCCTAGTAGACAAGAAACTGACATCAAATTAATTGGTAAAGTAAAAATCGAAAATTCCTCTGTGGATATAGTTAAAAAAAAAAAAATAGTAAAAGCTAAATAATTAGTTTTAATAATCTAGTAATCAAACAATAATAACCAATCATGCAATAATTTTTATCCTAATCAATCCATGACAAATATGTAATCCCCTTTCTTAAATTTTTTTTATTTTTCTTCTTCTTACTTTCTCTCTCCTAAAAATTTGATTCCCCCGCACCACCAACAGCAAAGTACCATTATAAAATCCCTCCTTCCACTCCTCAACTTTTCCATTCCCATCATCAATATCATCCCTCTATCTTTAACCACTCACTACTTTCTCTCTCCTAAACTTTCTCTCTATTCTCTGGTTTTCATTTCCGGTTATATCACTTCAAGAATTCGCTTATTTACCGACGGAAAATAAATTAGACAAGGCCTACTATTACAACTTTGTAGCTATACTCTATTTACCTTATCTACGTCAAAGAATTAACGCAAGTAGTTGGCGGATAGAACCAACTTTAATTTTATCTTTTTGTCAAAAAAAATAAATAAAAAGATACGAGGAAAAATGTTGGAGGCTTTGAAGTACTTGATTGGCGCAGCTGGGGCGAGCGGGTACGGGTCGAAATCAACGGCGGAGGATGTCACCGAGAACCGTCGTGATCTCAGCCACATCACCGCCATCATCACTGGTAATAATTTAATTTAATTTGTTTTTTTAGTTAATACAAAAGTAACATGCACAACAAGGATGATTCATCATTGACGCATGATTATATTATATATAGTACATATGATACAACTAATATATATAGTAGGAAATTTTTTTATGATTAGGCAATGATTAAAGCTTCGATTTCACGCTAATTCATTTTTGTTTTTGTTATATTTTGTTTGGCTTCTTATCATTTTGGTGTTGTGGTCCATGAATTTTGAATTATAGGTGCAACGTCGGGGATAGGGGCTGAAACGGCTCGAGTGTTGGCTAAAAGAGGGGCTCGGCTTGTACTTCCGGCTCGAAGCTATAAGACGGCTGAGGATACCAAGTCTCGGATTTTAGCCGAGTGTCCTGAAGCTAAGGTGGTCGTTATGTCACTTGATCTTAGCTCTCAATCATCCGTTAGAAAGTTTGTTCGTGAGTTCGAATCCCTCCAACTACCTCTTAACCTCCTCATGTAAGATCCGCTATTAATTGTCACGTTGATAGTGTAATACGTGCATATATTATATAACCCGACAAATGAGTGTTATACTAACGTATGTATATATGAATGAAAATAGAAATAATGCGGGGAAGTTTTCGCATGGGCATGGAATCTCAGAAGATGGAATAGAGATGACCTTTGCAACTAATTATTTAGGTAAGTAACAGAAAACTATAGTATTGCATGTGATGTATGTAGTTATTATGTACAGAGTTATATTAAGAAAATGTCATGTTTATATAATTAATCAAAGTGGTATTTTTTTTTTTTTTTTTAAAAAAAAACAGGTCATTTTCTGTTAACAAAACTGTTGGTGAAAAAAATGATGGAAACGGCGGAAGAAACAGGAATCCAAGGGAGAATAGTAAACGTGTCATCAAGTATTCACAGCTGGTTTACCGGCGATATGATTCCTTACCTCGACCTCATAACTAAAAACAAAAAGTATGTACTCTCATCTTCATTTTTCCTTAATCTTTGATTATTTTTTGTTTTGACTATATTAATTTCATAAATTTATAGGGATTAACTAGCTTTGACCAAATTTTAATTGGTTGGAGACAATTAATTTTTAATTTTTTTTGACACCTGGAGACAATTAATTTGTTTGTTTAAGTATTTCTGAGTGTGGGTAATTAAGAGTTTGTCTTTATTTTAAAAAATTAATTTGTTTATTTGGGTTGAATTGCAGTGAGTATGATGCGACACGTGCGTATGCTCTCTCTAAGCTTGCCAACGTACTTCATACCAAAGAGCTTGCTCATAAACTCAAGGTATATAGATTATTTTCATTTGCCTTTTAATTTTTTATTTTACAGTATAGCGTATTTGGTTGGCAGTAATAATCAATTAACACGATAACTTATTTCATTACGACTTATACACCAGTACATCTATCTCTATGTTCCCGGCCCTAATTTTTTTAGGGAAGAATTTGGGTGAGGGGGATTGCGTTAAAATGTTTTTCCGCTAGCCAAACATAACATTTAGCCCTACCAATTAAGCTTAACATGTTTTGGTTTATTTTTTTATTATTAGATTAAGTGTTAATAAGTTTCTAATTAAAGTGCAATTTTTATGCAGCAAATGAAGGCAAATGTTACAGTGAATTGTGTTCATCCTGGAATCGTGAGGACTAGACTCACTAGAGACCGTGAAGGCGTTATAACAGGTAACTTCACTTATAATTACTGTATTTTTTTTACATAAATATATTAATACTTCATTTGTTTATCATAATATGACGTGAATATAAAGTCAAGGTCAATATATACAAATATATTCAACTTAATTAATGATATACATCAATACATGTATGTATTACTTGCAGATTTGGTGTTTTTCTTGGCTTCTAAGCTCCTAAAAACTATTCCTCAGGTACTTCTTCACCTTCTAACTTATAATTACGAGTAATATCCGCTAAAATTGTTTATATATTATTAGAAAATATACTTAACAATATTTTACGTGTATGTTTATAGGCCGCGGCAACCACATGTTACGTTGCAACACACCCCAGACTTGAAAACATATCAGGGAAATACTTTGCAGATTGTAACGAAGCGTCCCCGTCAAAGCTCGGGTCGAACTCGTTCGAAGCCGAAAGACTATGGAACATGTCTGAAACCATGGCGGCATCTGAAAATCCTAAATTAGTTTTTCATCTATAAATATCATTATCATTATGAATTAATTAGCAAATTAGTCTTGTATATTATATATACTTCTACATGTATAATTAATATAAATATCACTAGGAATATTAGAAAAAAGTTTGAGTAGTTTACGATATATGATACTTATATATACGTATGTTAGTGTACTTGTATCAAAAAAAGTATTTATAAATATTTACTAGAATTAGTAGTAGTTAGAAGTGGAGTTGCAAGGATATAAATCTTTGTTTATGGGAGATCATAGTTTTGATGATTATAAAAAGTTGTACCTTAGCTTGTAATTATAAAGCAATCTTAATGCTTCTTCAATCCAGCTTCATATATACAAAGTAGTTTTAGTACATAATAAAATTATTATTGTACTATAAAGTTCTTTTTTTGAGATTTATATTGTTTAATAATACTATGTATAATTGTATATTATATATATATATGTATATAACCATCATATATTTTGTGGGGCTTGGCTTTCTTTTAAGTCGATGTACTGTATTTTGCCTTTCTATGTTGTTTATGTGCTCAAATCATGTGTAATCCGTCCCTTTTGAGAGTAATTATATACAACTTGGATTTAAATATTATAATAAAGCTATAGGTGATTGAATTGGTCAATGTCCTCGCTTGTTATCATCAAACTTAATACTCCATACTCCGTACTTGGTATATGTCATCGATAAATAGAGTATTTAAGAAAATAATAATAATAATAATGATAAATAGCTCGTATTTAAATTAAGTTGTCTATAAGTAGTTCTAAGCACACTATCACTATCCACCAATACGTACATTGACTAAAGATCCTAAGTGCATAATTTCTTTTTTACCAAATTCAAGTAATAATTGTGAATTGTGTGATGAATAAGGAAGAAAATGGGATTAAGAGCTTGTTAGGAAAAATTGATTATATATATCTAGCTAGAAAAATAAGATGATATAAATAAAATTGATTATAATAATAATTGCAACAATAATTATAATAATACAGGTAATTAGCGGGAATTAGTCAATGGCCAATGGCATGTGGGTGTTACATTTTAAATATTTTCGGTTCTGTATATGGTGTGCAATAATAGGAGGTCCAAAAAGGATATATTTAACAAGAAGACGAAGAGGACAAATTGGTTAGTTGATTGATCGATGATAACTGTATACAGTTGTTTGAGATAATCGGAGATCTTTCTCAAATTCTGCTACAAATAAATCATGCGAGATCGCTCAAGAGCAAGACAAGCAAATGAGTTATGCCGACTCATTGGTAGAGTATGTGCCGTGAGCAACAATGATTCTACACAAATTATCACATGTTTAATTTGTAACGGTTAACACACTTTTAATAATACTACAAAAAAGAAAAAGGTTTTTTTTTTTTTTAAATTTTAAAAAAAGGAGATATGTGCGATGTATTCGCTCTATTCGGACCCATAGTAGTCAATTATCACTTGATTGCTAAACGTTTTGGATCAATGCACAACATTCAACTATTTGAGCTAAAATGGAGTTTTTACTTGTACATATGTTTTTAAGCAACTTTGCAATTTTGCATGAGGACCTCATAATCGTAATTTTTCTAGAAGATTTTAACAACAATAATCCTCATAATAATTAAATGAGATTTAAGGCCACATTTACAACTAACACAATTCAATTCCTTACCTCATAAGTCATACACTCATATGAGGAAACGGAACAAAAATTATACTTGGTAGCCTCTAGCTAGCTAGGCGCGTAAAAGAGACACCACACACAAACAAATCTCACATTATTCGAAATAATGGAGAAAAAAGTACCATATAAATGACATTGAATGTATTAATTAATAACATGTTTATTAATAAGTTGTCACTATCAAAGGCTAACTAGCAATAAAATCGTGGTTCTCTACTCTCTAGGTATACTACTATCTTGCTCCTCAAGTCATATTCACAACTTGAAATTGTACCAAGTACTAGCTACCTATATATATATATCTAGCTTGCACTATACGTAGTAAATGAACAACTTAGGTCATATATATAGGTTATGGACCAATTTAATTTTACCAAAGCGCATCTTTTAATTATTTGTTCTTTACTTTTAGAAAAAGACATGCAAACCAAGCAAATGTTTTTTTGTCGTTTGCTATAATTTGGTGATCATTTTTCCACACGTATTATCTTTGACTTATGAAGCATATTTACGATTTTTGATACAATTTATATTAATTTTTTGTAATTAGATATCTATAGGTCCAATAATATGATGAGATTAATGATCAATTAATGAGTTGTGGTGCCAACTAATTGTATTATATAGAAGTAGTAGTCTAGTTTAGTAGAGTATTATTCTTATATAATTTGATAGGGTTAGCAACAAAATCAAATCTTTGAATGTAATGTTTGACCTTAATGCAATTATTCTACTATCTTAGTTTAAAATACGATCAATTTGTTGGGTTTATTAGTTTCTTCCTTTATTTTGGTTTTATGTGGTCAATGTTTTTTCACCGACAAGATGAGATTGACAAATGAGTAAAGCTACATTCTCCAAGGGTTAATGTCATTCAAAGCGCCTATGCATGTCTAGTTGCCTACTATTGATTTTGACCTTATTTAATGGTCTATATGTATATCCATTCTCTTAAATTAGATGTCTTGTCACATTATATTGTCTTTGTTCATATCTTATTAACAAATTAAATATCTTAAATTATTATAGTGTATTATAGTTGGATCATGTATACAATCTTTCAACTTGTACTCCATCCATTTCATAATATATAATGTATGTAAATGTATTTTTATTTCGAATGTCTCAAGATGTTCCTAGTTGCTCATCTCATAGCATTGCTATTCCTTTTCTAATATGATTGCACATCAACATCTACATGCACACGATAATATCATTTTCTAATATCCTTAATATGATATGATAATATACTTCATTCATATAATAAACTCGGAACTAAGTACAACCGGGTGCATATATAAGTAATATAAATGGGATGATGTCGTCCCAAACTTCAAGGCAATACAATTACCATATCTTTTAGACCTTGTGGTGTGAGCTAGGTAGCAAATTTGCAATAGCTAACCGATAACCAATTGTCACTTGTCAAAAGTACGAAGCATAAGAAGTACCTACTCCATAATTAGAAACGCAAGCCAAATGGCAATTGGCAAAGCATGATCAATGCTGGAAAAAAGACTAAAGCATGGTCTTAAAAAAGAAAGGGTTCGAAACAGTCCAAATAATTAGACCCCTTAAGTTGAGGAACTTATTACTGATCGAATTTGTCGTGGAATACTTTAATTTGTTGCCTTTTAGCAAGATTTGACATCTCCACTATAAACTAACTTTTTTTTTTTTTTTTTTTTTTTTTTTTTGAAAGATCCACTATGAAGTATGAACTAACCTTATACTACCTTAACAAATTAGTTAAGCTTGCTTTTTTTTTTGCTTTTGTGTTTACAAACTAACCTCTATCTTTGAGTCTGAGTAATGTAACAGGCTACCTTCCACCTTAGTAGTCGTCCACTTAGGTTTGTCTTAGGAGATAAAGTGGCAGTTATCTAATGATGATGGGGGTGAGCCCTGTTTCACAGACATGTCCATCTTCAGACCCATCTTCATGTGTTAAATGTTGGATGGGCCCAAAACTTAGTGGACTAAATAGCACTTGGATCACTTATTTGATTGATTTATTAATTTATAAATATTTAGGATAAACGAAATTGATCTTTAATCTTATATGTTGGATATAATTTTAAAACTTTAACAACTAAAGCAATTGACATTTATAATATTTCGAATTTTAGTATCAATCCTAATTAGATTTTTTCTACCTTCATAATTACTTGTTTTAGTGTGCTTTTTGTGTTAAGTCATGTCGTACCTAGTCATGCTTTTTCGAAAAACCATCGCGTAGCCTAGGCACACACAAAAACATTTTATGCAATGTCTTCTCAAAGTCCAAGCCGTAGTGTGTGTTTTTTTGGTGCCATGGACTAAGGACCTGTTCTGATTTACTGAACAAAATTGAATTGTTTATGAGATAAGAAAATTAAGAAATGAACTGAAATTAAGCCGAAGAGAATATGACTATAAGGAGACCAATCCAGCAACCTATTGATCTTAAATAAGCATACTTCTTGCACCATATATGTTTTGGGCCAGGCTTTATTCATTATGGAACAAACCTCAAATCATATCCTAAAATCAATAGGCCGGCCCAAATTCAGATCGAGACATATCTTCAACCTCATTTCACCAACTGTTTGTAAGAACCAAGCTAAAACCCTTCACTCTTTCTTCTAAAACCCTTCTCCGGCGATAAACATGTCGGCGTTGATACCGGAAACTTCCCGGCGAATAATTACGCCGGAAAGCATCCGTTCGGCGGCGAAACAATCGTCGAAATGCCTCGTAATCCCCGTTCGTCTTCGCCGCGCCATTGAAAAATATCTTCAAGGTTTGTCCTTAATTTCTCTCTCCTTCAATTTCTGGGAAAAAAATTTCAAATTCGAGCTGAAATTAATTTAATTTAATGTTTAATTGATTAATTAGAGCAAGAAATGGGGCATATGAAGAAGAAAGTACTGAGATTATCAGCATCATTTGCGGAAATTAAGGATGTAAATCGGTTGCTTCCTATGTCGATTTCAAAGGAACTTGTTGAGGATCCATTGAAGTCGATGGAACAATCAAAGAGGTGGAAAATCAAGAGTGAATATGGTGATATTGGATTAACTTATACTGATGATGAAACTGTTGCTTATGTTGCCACTCGAATGCCTGCTGTTTATTCTGCTTGTTATAGAATCTTACGTGAGGTGATTATTTCTTTTCACAAATTAATTGCAATTGTTTGATTGTTGATGTTATACTTGGAGATGCTCTTAATGTTTAGGTCAGTGTAATACCATTCGCGGTAAGAAAGTGGACATAGGAATGTATTATTATTGTATTTCACTACCTAGTTTTGTTGAATTCGGCGAAAAGTAACAAGTACTAAATTTATCTTGTGAATTTAGCAACACTGGTTTAGTTTTAAGGTTATGGATAGGGTTTGCATTTGTGTCAAATCTTAATTTAGGTGTTTATGACAAATGGGACTTGTTGATGTTTGTAGATTAAAAGAAGGGTGCCTGAATTTTCTCCTGTTAATGTGTTGGACTTTGGGTCTGGTACTGGCTCGGCTTTTTGGTGAGAATCTATTTCGTTGATTTTGCAATCTTGGTGGAGTAGTTGTTTGTTGGTGTTGAGATTGTTTTGTGGATGATATTGTGCAGGGCGTTGAGAGAGGTTTGGCCAAAGTCATTAGAACGGATCAATTTGATTGAGCCCTCTCAATCAATGCAACGTGCTGGCGTTAGTCTTGTACGAGGTAATTACCAAACTTAATTGCCTATTGGATGCATTGCACTAAGTTTTATTCTTGATTCAAACAAATTTACTTCCTTAGATATCAAGGACCTGCCACTTGTTCACAGCTACAATAAGATTCAATCCTTAACTCAGGATATCAAGAAGGCTGAAAGGGCACATGACCTTGTCATTGCTGTAAGTTATTACATAGTGTAGTTGATCTCAAATGCTGCATTGTAATGTTTGTTTGTTGTTTTATATTTTTATCACTATAAACTACAATTTGTGCTTGCTATTCATATTTGTTTCTTTTGTTATTGCATGGCCCTTTACTTTGAAGTCCTATGTTCTTGGAGAGATTCCATCACTGAAGGATAGGATTGCTATTGCACGTCAACTGTGGGGTCTAACTCGAGATATTCTGGTATTTTGAAATATTCCTTGCTTTCATGCCAATATTTAGTGAGAATGAGTATGCTATTTCTCTTGTTGAGGGAGATGCTTCAAAGTCATTAAATTTACTTTGTCTAGCTACCTTGGTATTTTGTTTGTATGTTAGACTAAAAAAATTGGAATTCTATTTACGCTAATTACATTCCTGTTTCTTCACTGCATGTTAGGTACTTGTTGAACCAGGCACCCCCGAAGGGTTTAATATTATATCTCAAATGCGATCACATATTTTATGGATGGAGAAGAGGGTAAGTTGTGTGTTATGGTGCATGACTTGTGTCAGTACCCTCTAGGATATGTTGAGGGCCTTGAGGCTATGTTACTCAGACTCAACCACTCAGGCCAGACATAGATATGTGTTGTGGTGGAAATTTTTAAAAACCTTCCATATTTTGGTTTCATAATGATGTGCTTGTTTAAAAATCAATGTCTGACACGAGCTCTTAGTGAACTTAAAAGTATGAGCAAGCAGAGCTATCTGGTTATAGGGCGATTCTCATCCTTCTGCACATACTTATAGAGTTATAGTAATCATCTTTATATGTCTATATATTATGCTCTCTTTGACTTATTCTTTCATCGGTTTGTATAACATTAATTGTGTGGTTTTATTTCTAGAAACGGCGTAAACTTGAAGCTAAAATGCGTAAAACTGATGGTGCTGCAGAAAACCTAGAAGCTTCCAATGTCGGAGCATTTGTGATTGCTCCTGTGAGTATATGACTATATAACTTTGCATTTTTCTCTCTTCCTTGCTCCCATCCCAAAACATGCCAAGAAGAGATCACTTACCTTTGTTACATATTTTTGTCACAGTGTCCACACGATGGGCCTTGTCCTCTGGCAAAGAGTGGAAAATATTGTCATTTTGTTCAGCGACTAGAGAGAACAGAGTCGCAACGTGCATTTAAGGTTCTTATCTCTTGTAAAAGTTCTTTTGCCTCTGTAGTCTGTCCCTATAACACCGTCCACCAGACGATGCACTCAATATTGAAGATACATTTTAAACTGTTCTTGTATCAATAATGTATGGGTAGACAATCTACTGCATATGTATAATTATGGGAATTTATCCCTTAAATACAAATAAAAAAAGAAAAAAAATGAACAGATATACTTATCCCTTCTCAAGTATCTATAGAAATCAAATGATTTGTATTGGAATTCAGCCAATCCATCCTTTGGGATTAAGGCTTCAATTGTTGTTGTCGTCGTTGTATTTGAATTGATTTTTGAATTGGGATTTCAAATTATTTTTTTATTTTTTATAGAAGATATATTTCTCATTAAATATCTAGTTCCCAAGTTGGCTTTTCAAAATGCTGCTTAGCATATATCTTAAGCTTGGAGAATTTTCATTTTAGTTGGTTGACATCAAGTCGGGACTAAACCACTGTAATAATCTTTATGCAGTTCACATTTGATTGGGTATACTTGGTTTAATAGGTTGACACCAAGTCAGGATTAAACCACTGTACTACCTCCGTTTCACATCATGTGCAACAACCAACAATTAGGTATTTTTTGTGAGATATAAAAAATTCAACTGTTGCACATAATGTGAAACGGAGGTAGTAGTATTATTTATACAAATCATATATGATTGGGTTTGGGTATGCTAGGAGTCATCCTGGGTTAAGATTCTGATATGGTTGAGGGTTCAAGGAAAGACCATTAAGTACCTACTTTTTTTGGCCTATGTGGTTGTCTTTGAGATGGAAAGAGTAGGGCAGTGTGTCTAATGGAAACCAAATCAGTGTATTAGAGGTGTGAAATTACTGAAATATACTAAAGTGAGCTATGTTGTGACCAAGCTTTTGTGTTTGTTTTGTCTTGCAGAGATCAAACGGTTCACCTTTACGTGGGTTTGAGGATGAGAAGTTTTCCTACGTCGTATTGAGACGAGGAAAAAGACCGCAGTGAGTATTTTATGCTCAAGCTTTACACTTGCAATTAAATTTCATTATCATATAGTAATATAGTACCATTGTTATTTTTGCTCTACTCATTATAGATTTGTTGTTTAAGAAAACTTTGAAAAATATGATTGGGTGCAAGATAAAGTAGCCATATTTATATGAAGCTTTGCTATTCTACGTTTTCCTATAACTTGCAAAGTGCATACCCAGTAACCATATCTATTTGAGGTGTCTGATATCTTGATCTGTGCCAAGACACGGATATTATGTGGAATTCAGGATGTTGGGGTAACAATGGTAGGAAGAAAGGCAAATGTGAGCTTTTCATGGAAGACAAGCTGCATAATTTGCTTGTGACTGCTGCAAGACATTCTGTTGATTTGTTTCCAATAATTCAATGCGAGCCATTTTTTCCACTTCTTCCTTGCTATTGATTGTTCTTGATGTATAGGTTTGAATTCCATGGTGAATGAGGATTTTTTCTGTTCTTTTCTTATTATTTATTTTTATTACTGAACAGGGATCCTTGGCCTCTTGACGGAATTAAGTTTGATACCTTAAAAGAATTGCGTGCCAAAAGAAATCCCGAGGAACTTGAAATTGATTATGGTACGCACCTCTTATACGCTCCTTTATCTGCATAATTATTTTATTTTCCTAGAGATCCAGACCATTGCTCCTACCCTTCACAACTATTATTCAGTTTATTGGTATCTACTTTATTGTGAGAGGAAGGTGCAACAAATATGCAATGATTACTTCCCTAAGGCCCCAAAGGTCCCATCTTCCCAGCTAGCTTTTTAGTTGGCCAAAAATGTTATTTTTGGAAATTTGTGCTAAATAATGCTTAATCTGGTAAAAGCAAAGTCCAAGCTTCCTGATAATTTAATTGTTGTGAATGCGAGAGCCTCTGGAAAGTCTAAGCTTCCTGATAATCTAGTGGTTGTGCATGCGAGAACCTCTGCGATGTCTTAGCTTTCTGATAATCTAATGGTTGTGAATGCAAGAGCCTCCAGGCTCAAGCTTACCTTTTAGCTTAACATGAGATGCCTATGCCTGTCAGAGTCGAATTCTCTTTCCTATTGGTTATTACCTCTTGTTTTTCTGAACTACAAGCATGTGGGGTAGGGTAGAGATTTGTATACAGTGTTCATCTCCGAACTTGTTCTATTTTACTGCTTTTTATGTATACTTGGTCAATTTATAAATAGATCATGGTTGTTGTAATATTGTTAAGATTTGGTACTAATTCTCTATTGGTTCATGTACTTCAAGATGGATAAGGCCACTGACTGAAACCCATGGCTTTAATGTCTTGAGGGCTTGCTGATAGATACACCCCTAACAAATAAGTACATCATAGCTTGCAATTCTTGGAAGCTTTCATTCCATTGGTCACATTAGTGGCTGATCTAGTAATGAAATTGAAATCCGTTGGGTAGGGTAGACCATATTATTGACAACATAGTGAATTAGGAAACCTAATTTATATGTTCTATACTGAGGTCTTTTACTTGCGTTGTCATCAACATTCCAGGCTTTCTAAGGACTTTTTCCTTGTGAATTAGACTGATGATTCTCTTTTTTCGAATACTTTATGCTTCTGATCCTTCACTAAATGCTCTAGTTGAAATATTTTCTTAACCAATACTAGCAAACTAGCAATGAGTCAATGAGAGTAATGTTGCTAGCAGTTTATATGAGGCAATCACATTTTGAAAAGGAAGCAATGGCTATTGCTGAAGGATGAAATTTAAAAGCAATGACAATTGCTGAAGGATGAAATTTAATAAGCATAAGGGTAATTTTGCTTCAAACAATCTATAATTCACAGAAAGCTGAAAAAGATTTTAGGATGATGTTGATTCAAACAATATATAACTCTCAAAAAGTTGAAAAGGCATTAATACTGTTTATATATATTAAAATCAGTAAGAATTTTAACAGTACAAACAACAATGAAAGATTAAGAAGACCATCATCAGTCCCCAAGACTACACTTATATAGAGTATATAAGATGATCACCTTAGAGGCAGGAGGTGGGATTACATTCCTAGAATGACTAGATTGACAAATCCTTGTCTTTGTGAGCTCATTTAACACACGTTTAATTTCCCCTTTTGTTGCTAATTAGGAACCAAAAATTACAAAATAGCAGGAATTATTTTCTTTTAGCTTTCCATATAGAGTGTTTAAATCAAACCTTCCAAGAAGGAACAATCATATTGATGCTTTTCAGGCTTGTAATTGGTCTGGTTTTACTTACTCTTTAAACTCTGGTTTGGCATTTTGGCAAGTAATAAAATTTAACTGCCAAAAAGGGAAAAAAAAAATTATTAGGGATGAAAACATCATGAGCAATATGGGAAGTTTCTTTGAATTTGACAAAAGTATTATTGCTTTCTCAAGTTCTAGTGCTCAGGTTGTCTTCTTGACTCTTGAGGCCCCTAAAAGAAATCTATAGCTGATTGTAGTCTTGTACAATATTGCACCTTTCTGTCTGGATTTGGTAAGCTTTGTAACAGGCTTGCTTTTTGCTGGTTTATCAATACTTACACTATGTTTGGATTGAAGTAAGTGGAGGGAAAAGAAGGGAAGGGAAATGGAGGGATGGAATATCTTTCATTTGGATTAACAAATGAGGAAGGAAGAGAATTGGAGGGGAGAAAAATGGAGGGATTTAATTATAAGAAATTGATCCTCTCTCCAACAATGGAGAGATTTGGAAGGAAAACTCATCTTTCTTCCCTCCCCTCCTCTGCCTTTCCCTTCCTACCCCTTCCCTTCCCTTCCCTTCCCTCCCCTCCCCTTCTTTTCGTTCCCCTTTCTCTATCCAAACACACTCTTAAGGATTTCTTTAGTGAAATAGGTAGTCTTCTTGTAACAAGGCTTAGCTATTAGAGCATGAAAGAGGAATTTCTACTTCCTAAGACTAAAGCTGGTAAATTTTGTGTCATGAACAAGGAACTACGTCTCTAAACCAGGTGCTCAAGTCTTGTGTTCATGCTCTTAGTTAGTTTATGTCTTATAACTATACAATTTATTGTCTATAACATTGCTTGGATATTACCTATTCCAAAGTTTTTTTTGTTCCTAATGGAATCATTATCTAGCACAATTTAAAACTTTTGTCCAATTTTGAGGGCCTTTAAGTTGTGTTTGAGGATTTGTGTAGCCTGGTTGCTTTGTTGGCATTTAGCCCAACAGGTGAAGGAAAGGTTGATCTTTTCTGGTTAGTGCAGCTTGTCTTAACTCTTAAGTGATCACTGATAAATTCTGATGCTGTTGAACTCTTCTGTTGCCACAGAGGACCAATCTGAGCTAGAACCTGATGAGATTGTTCTCTCTGAGGCTCCTCCTTCATATGATTCTGATGCAACAGAATCTGGTACGGATATTGATCATGAAGATGAAGAGGAAGGAGAGCAATTAAGCCGTGCAGATCTGGGAAGTGGTTGGGGTAGAATCATCTTCATGCCTCAAAAGAGGGGTAGACGTGTTGAAATGGATGTATGTAGGGCTACCAAGCATGATGGTTCAGAAGGCTCATTTGATCATTTGGTCGTTACTCGGGCTAAAAATCCAACCTTACATCATCAAGCACGGAAGTCTTTATGGGGGGATTTGTGGCCTTTGTAGGTGAAGCCTATAGTCTATACTCAGTGCTCAATTTGGATCAATAATGGAGTGTAGCATCTTTCTTGAATTCAATCTGATTCAAGATTGCAGTACATTGATTCATGTTAGATGCTTACATTTTATCCTTTGCAAAATACAAGTAGCCACTATTGCGACTGGAGTCTTATATTGTGACTCCATGGCTCAATTTGGGTATCAAAGTGGAGGATTTTTTTTGGGGGAAAAGAAAGATTGTGTGTCCCAAATTAACTATGAAGACCTTTATGGGACAAAAATCTCAGTTGTGACTTTTGGCCTTGGATTTGCTTGATCCTCTGTCAAGCTACTGGAGAGTGCAACTTCAGATTGACTGTATTTAAAGATGCGGGCTAACATGGTCTCCTTGGATGGACCAAGGTGTGCCTTTACCTTCGTGATTCTCAGGTGCATCAGGCTTCCAGCAATCTAGCGGACTATCCAGAAGAGCTGCTCCAGGTGATTGCAAAATCTTTACATCTCCTTTCACTTCATGTATCATGTATATAAGTTTACCACCATATTTTACCTTGTCTTTTTCCCATCACATTTTAGATTTTACCTGATCTTTTTCCCATCACTGCAGTCATGCTATACGAAGAATCCTTTTTTGAACTTGTTAGTTGTTACATGTATAAACATGAGTCATGGTTTATTTCCACTTTACAGTATTTTTTTTCTTCAGTAACTTAGGGTAGAGCTGTCATTTTGGGTGAATTGTTGCACTTAATGAGTCGGTATCATGGTATGTTTACATGTCAAATTACAGGCTTAAAAAAAAAAAAATTATAAATTGTAAGATAAATGCATAATATGACAGATATTGTATTAAGCTGGATTTTCAAAAATATATTCCATATGAAAGTGTATATAAAAATATAGGAAGAAACAGAAGGGTTTGCTTTGCCTAGGTAATTTCCAAAAGGTTCCCTTGTCCACTCTCCTGGCCTCTGATCCTTGACCGCCTTGACCCCTTCATTGTTAGGTCACCACAACTATCCAGTATCCACCAATATACATGAGAGCAGACTCGAGAATTGTGTTTGCTCCTATTTTTGATTTCTAACATAAAAGAGTATGAAAAGAATCTCAAATAAGATATTCAAATCACCCAGTTGCCCGGCAAAATCGTATACTATGGTCACTAGACAAAGTAATCAAATCTGAGCAGGAGTAAATTCTTTAAATATATAATTTACTAATGTAATATACAGCAAACCTACTAATGCTTAATCCTACCTTCTGCTGTCTAAACTATTAATCAAAACTAGTTGAACTTCCTAAGCTACTGCAGTTATCTATGCATCGATATCTAAAATTAGATAAAGAGCATGAGGATTTGAGGGATTTCTTTGTCGAACATCGAATAGGTAGTCCATAATTGTGATATGTTCTTATAAAACCATCTTTACCTCCAGTTACTATCACAAGCCCCCACATGTGTGAGCCACTCAATATTCTTTCACATACATTCCTCAAGAACTCGTAATCAATGTCTCCTATGGCAGGTGTTGATGACCCTTTATCCTTCTTTACAGAACAGTAGTTGGCTCTTGAAACAGAAGATTTCTGATTATGTCTTGGTGTACTAGGTTGTCTAGTCGTCGGGGATGATATATCTGAGTTTGATGTAAAACCATGCCAAGGTACTGCGATCAGAGCATTAGGTGATGAGAAACTTTCAGAAGACCAAATGTTTTTTGGTTTGCTGTTTGCAGTTCTCTCATCGCTAATGTGATTCCAGATATAAGCATTTGCATCATCAGTAGCTGAGATAACATGTTTCCCATCTGCAGTGAAAGATGCAAATACTTTGCTTCTTCGATCCATTAGTGGAACACAACCTAAAAAGAACAAAATTGATACAAGAGAAAGTCCTATAATTGCTCGGCAATTATTTTCGTAATAGCTGTCAAATGAACTACTGTATGAAATCGGAGTTACCTCTAAGCTTACAGATGGTATCAGCTCCCCTGAGAATTCGGACTAGAGAGTCATTCGAACTGACTACTACTTCGCTTGGGTCAGTTGGAGAGAACTGTGATAAGAAAAGACAAATTCAACATGAAATTCAAAAATAAATGCAGAAAGAAATAAAAGAAACATATGCAGAAAGAAAAATGAAACCTGGAAACCAGTTATCCTCTTGCAAGTTATCTTCTTCTTGTCTTGCAAGTACATAACAGATGCTCGATGCATAATATCATCTGGTGCATGCAATTTTGTATCAGCAATTTTCTGAATTCCAGCTTACAAATTAAAATCAAATAGAATGGAAGGAATGAAGAGTGAATTACTAGCGAAAACATAATAACCAAAAAAACCAATCTTGTAGAATGTAGACACACACTAGGTAAAGTACTCAAACAAGCATGAAAATTATGCTAAATTGTATAAAAAGAGGACATAAAATGTCTGTTTTATCTAAAAACAAGCTTATATGAAGTTTCATGCTAATTGCCGATTCAAAAGAAATTTAGCATCAGACGACTTAGCACAGGTGTAAGAATCATAACCTGCGATTTCAAAAAACAAGCAGTTTCCCACCATTGATCCAACAATACCACCCTGTAATTTGGCAAAAAATCTCATAAAAATTCCAATATAACTTAGAAAGAGGGCTAAGATAGAAGCTAGCTGCTATGTATGACCTTTCCATCAGGACGATAGCAAACAGCAGTGACGATTTCCTTCATATCAATCCAGTCAACCACTTGACATCTTAGGACATCCCAGATGCGGACTTTTCCGTCTATGGAACCGCTGATGAAGTAATTATTATTTGCGGGATTGAACTGTGCACATGTTACTACATCAATAAAATGACAGTCAAAATGTTATGTCAAGACAATGACGGAGAAAAACTTTTAGTTTATGATAGGAAAAAATCGCGTCTAGCAGAAACATGAACTTCATATTACCAAAGTCATTGTGATGAAAAACTTTTAAACATCGGCTATATCCCATTTTCCATAGGCGCACTGTCTTATCAACCGAGGATGACAGCAAATGCTGCATTGAAGGTAAACAAGGAATTCATAGAGATCCACACACAGATTATTCATAGCAACACTGCAGTTAATTATTGCGAACAATTAGAATTTTAAAGAGCGGATTTAAAGGCAGAGGGATGAGATCGAAAAAGAGGGGATATTGGAAAGATTGGGAAGAAAACGCAAGCTCACTCCACCACTTAACACCTTTCCCTCCCTAAGAGTTCATAACAGAATTTTCTGAATTACTAACATACTAACCCCATTCTTAGACCATGAAATATCCGGGATCTCACCCTCATGTCCGCGGAACTCATGCCAAGGCTTCTCTAAAATACGAAACACTTTGCGGGGGACCATAATACCATTGCTAGCTGAGTCTGCACATTTCTTCAGCTTATTCTTCACATTCCCATCCTCTTTGCACTTCATAAAGCAAGCCAATTTTGGAATACCATTTACAGAAAATTTCAAACCTGCAGATGCAATACTGAAGTTCAAATGGTCAGAAACAGTCATCCATCCCTCTTCAACTATCTTCCATACGTTCAAAGCTCCGTATTCCCCACCAGTGGCAAGATATTGGCCGTCAAGACTGAACTTCATACACAGTATTGAGCCCTTGTGAGCAGAAAATTCTTGCATATGATACATGGAAGACAACTCCTTTGACCACTTTTTGTGAGAATGAACATGAATTCTCTGGCTTCTAGACCCAAAGAGTTCGCGGTTGTGAAACACCTCATTCTTTTCCTTATCTTTGTTAAACATATTTGCAGCTTTGAAGCTAAATCTCTTCAAACAGCCTTCTTTACACTGCAATTTCCTCTTAAACACCTTATTACACCCTTTTGATGATTCTGCTGTCATGAAGTCTTCAACAAGATTAGATGATCCATATGTCTCCTGAAACTCATCAGTTGTATAACAAGAACTCGAACCAACTTCATGAAGTTTCCTAGGCATTCCTTCATCATCTGTCTCCTCTGATTCAAACTCTCTCCCATCTTCTAAGCACCGAATTCTGCACAACACATCCTGATCTTCTTCATTTACTGCTTCATGATTCCGACAAGCCAAACCCTTCCCTTTGTCATGCTTGTTAGCTCCTGCCGTCCTATCAGTTTTCGCTGTGATCACACAAGTATCATCAGGCCCTTCTCTTGCAGTTTGGCACCGATCCAAAACAAAACCCGTTGTTCTTATAAAATCATCACGCCGTTCATCAATACTTTTGGGGTTTCCACTCCAAAAATCATAGTGCAGACTACTAAATGAATTATTACTAGCTTGGTGAATTTCAGAAGCACAGCTCTCAGAACAATCTGATCCACTAACACAACTAGATTCTGAAGAAATCTCTTCAAGGGCGTCAAAAAAATCATCATGTTCTACGCATGCATTTACCATAATTTCCTTTACAATATCTGTTAATTCTACTCCTTCCGACTAACACGAATTCAACGTCAAAATATATGACATTGACATTGATTAGCCTTCTAACTAATTAGAAATAACCACGCTACCAATCAATGTAGCACATCATAAGAACATGGAATATAAACCACCTCAAATTTGTACAACGTCTGCATTTTTACGTGGACTACAACATAACTTCTGCATATACGAATCGTTAAACTTCTGAAACATGATCAAGAACTACCAGTTCATATCATGTATGTTTGATATAATGCATTAAAATCAACATGCACAAAGTTGCCTTAAAGATGCAATTTGATCAACGCCTGGAAAAATTTAAAAAGGCCAAGGTATTTGCTGATTTGCTCACCAACAATTTCTTATGTAAATTTTATTAACCCGATTCTTGGTTCACCTATTTGATGTGGATTAAGCAATGTTCAAACTATTTTCAAATAGCAATTCAACAAATTAGGATTAAGAAAAAAAATGTAAAAACCTTGGGACAATAATATGTGAATGACTATAATTGATATTCCTCCAGTTTGGACGTTGGTTTTCTGTAACGGTTGCCTTGATTTATTTTTCCCCAATTAGCCTGTGTTTTTATAATTTTGTTCTTGCAATGAGGTAGATAGAACATCTCATATTTTCTAGAAAAACTAACTAAATAAAGCCATAGGATAGTTTTAAAGAATTTTTTTTCCCACCCAACCCCCACCCCCCACAAAATAAAAATAAAAAAATTGTCTACTTTAATCGAAGCTTACAGTATTTTAGAAACTTTCGCAAGCACAAGTTGATTGAATGTATTTTTTCTAAGAAAAAAAACCTTGGGCGTAATTGAAGATGGATGTGGGTCATGCCTCGTGGTTAATGAATGTGCTTTAGAGTTATATAGTGCTGGTCTACGTGATATGTACGATGTCGGAACAGGTTAAAATTATCAAAAAGTCGCTCCTAGCCCACATGTCATCATGTCAGGCCAGGTTGTGCTTGTGTGCCTAAGCCACACGTTTCATTAATTTTAGCGTGTGTTGTTGTGCTTCTCTTAAATAAAGGTGGTTCAACATGCACAGTATCGTGTCACCACTAATATATGTCTATGTCGTGCTTTTTCGGTGCCATCTTTAGGCATGACCCAAAACTGAGTCCACTTGCTATCTCTTGTGCAATGTCAAAACTTTCTAAAGGGCGAACTAGGCATGGCCAAAACCATGCGCATACATTGTAATAACAAATCTAAGAAAATACTAGTTTTTTTTGAAGCAATAAAATACTAGTTTTGTTGTTCAATTCTTTGGCAAAATACGAAGAAAAAAAAATGTATGATTTTTTATAAGTAACTAAAATTAATGGTCAAAATTTATAAACTTTAACTCCTTCAATGGGGCAAATCAATAGAATTTAGGCTTGATTACAGTTGACACGCCTTAAATTTGACCGGATTTTGCAAGCATTGAATTAAATTTGGATTTTAAGCAAGTAAAAATTAAGCCTAACCCAAACCTTACTCTTTTTTATTTGGCTAAAGTCTAATCGGACTTGACCCATGATTACCTCTAAGCTCTAATAGATATCGGGGGCAAGAGTAATTGAAAACACGTTATTTCAAAAATGAAAAAAAATGTAGTCCGTAGAATATAATGGTACGTAGCCGCAGCAAATAGTCCGCATGCGCAGTAGAGTAAAAGGGGGGACCCACTCACCGTCGGAAGCCCACTAAATAGTGAAGACCGCCCTCTTCTACCGGACTCAATTGCTTTGCTTAATTTACATGTTTTTTTCAAGTATTTTGTCAAACACTCTTTATTCTCTTTTGTTACACTTTCTTCCCCGCGAATATATTCCCTTTTCCATCTTTTCTTCATCCGTGTTATTCACATGTACTACCATTACACGTTCAAGGTCAGTTTACTATATATATATATATATATATATATATATATATATATATATATATATATATATATATATATATATATATATATATGATAATTATACATTAATTCTTATGGAGTAACCTTTACCGAAATATTAGATGAAGCCCGTGCGATGCACGGTTTGTTTGAATTTTTTTAAAATAATTTTTTTAATCAATTCGAATAGCAAAACACAGTACACTTAGGGCCTGTTCTCTTACGTTCAAATTCAGTTCAGTTCAGTTCAGCTCCTAATTTCTTTCTCTTATAAAATATTCATTTCATTTCAGTTCGTTTCAGCTCAGTTTAGTTCAGCTCAATTCAGTTCAGTTTAGTTCAGTTCAACTGAGTTCAGTCAATAAAAACAGGCCCTTAATCACTTATACACATAAATTTATGTGTTTTTATTAATCATATGTTAGCTATGTTTATTGGCAATAAAAGTTTTACTATCTTACCAATAAAACATACATCGTATTACAAGTTGAGTTAGGTTAATAATCTAAGATACTGTAGTTCAAAATCTAAGGAATAATAAGTCTAGGCTAAAATCTAAAGAATAATAAGTCTAGGCTAAACGTAGCATTTATGGTCATTTCATGGGTTAACAAATTCAAATCATATCGTAATATAAGAAAATTTGTCTTTGTTAGTGAAAGTTGTCTCAATTAACAAAGAACTCCAGCCAAACAACTCATTGAGATGAAATGTACCTTAATGACAAGAATTACAATATTTTTAAAAGTTAACATCGCCAACATTTTCTCATACTTGATAAGTTTTATGCTCATACTTGGACAACTTGCTTTAGTAAGGAAACTGTTTTTGTTTAACCCGTGATTTATATGCAATTATTATGTGTTATAACCTACAATGAATAAACATTAAACAGTGCAAATTGTTTCATTTCAATTTTAACGTATTACTACGTACTTCATATCTTGTAAATGAGGCAAAAGTCAGAGAACAGTACTCCGTTGAAGAAAGTAGCGTCTAGATTTGACATGCAATCGATCTAACAAGAATACTTTGTAGTATCAATTAAAAACTTCCTAAAATATTCAGAAAGGGTTTCTTTCTTGTAATTTTTGCATTCCTTTTTAATTGCCTCATTTTCTTTTATGAAGTCAAAATACATCATTGAATATGAATTTTAATTTATTAATAAAAGGGAAAAAAAAAACTTGCTGGTGTAAGAATCTTGTAATATTGGTTACTAAAAATTTATACTGATTTTCTATTATATTTCTTATTTAAGAGCAAGATTAGCCATATGTCTTAAAACTCTAGTTATGTGACATCATCAATTTCTAATTTTATGGTCTTAATACAAGACTCTATTTATTTATTTTATGCATTTATGAAAGCTTGGTCTTAACAAATTTAAAGTGGAGTCTTGAAAATTAAAGACTCTTAACACTTACACACAGTTAATTTGAAAATTCAAAACTCAACTTAAAGCTTATACACTGTGATTATTATAAATATTGATAAAGAAGAGATCAGATGCGTGTTCTCTTTACTAATTTATTAGGCTACCGAGTAGCTCCCCTTAATCCCATACGATGATACGGAGTATGTACTATATTTTAAGCTAGTGAAACCATCTTTTGTGTGAAGTGGACACTTCCTCCTCATGATGGGTGTGGCTCAATCTCATATTCGACACAGTTCGTCCATAAACATTTTCTTTATTTAGAACATAAATAGTTCAAGCATTTACAAACCCCCCCCCCCCCCCTCAAATAGAAAATCTAGTTTCACAGTTTGAATGATGCAAAAAAATTGAAGTAATCGTATCCATAAAACGACTACCTCTCAATTAAGTACTCCATACTAGGAAAGATTTGAGTTGAATTTCAATTCAAGAGAGTGTGAAATAGGGTCGCTAGTAGATATCTGATAATAGGAGCATCTCGGGATAGCCTCCATTTCAACAAAACATTAAAGGTAGAAGAATTATGAAGACGTAAACAACTGCTTCTGAAAGCAAGGACAAGAGTCAAGATGTATACAAAAAGCATTTAATAAAGTTTTTATATATTATAGTTTTGTAGTTATTTTATTTCCTATTTACGCAAAAGTTGAATAGAAATTGAACATGAACATGTAACATAATAGACAAACTATTTTTTCAGTCAAAAAGAAAAATCTTTTATGTTCCAAAAAAGCTAACCTCATTGTCTAGTTAATTACTTTGATCTTGACAGGTTGCTATGAATGTAACCATCTAAAATAGTCCTTAGTATTATTTCTTCAATTTTATGATATTCTTTTCTAACTGTACCTTCACAACAAAGATACACCACTAACTAAGATATCTTCCTACTTATTATTACATGTGAATTGAAGTGTGAACTGTCTAGAGATAATATAGTTTAGTTAATAATTATGTTAATTAGTATGCAATAGAAGAAAATTATGTGTGTTGATTTTGATTAATTATTTCGCCCATGCTAGCTAGTGACAACTGACAAGTCATACTTCAAATCTTCTTGTATATACAAGGAGAGTGGGTACATATTTTATTTGTTGTTTAAGATTATCAACATATACATTAAAAATTCTCTAGGATATTAGGCTTCTTTGGTTCGATTTATTTGCGTGAATTAGATATATTATAGTAAGAACTTATATTATTAATATTTATAATCATTATAATAAAATTTATATGCGAGTGTGTCAAACTGAATTACGGAGTATTTTGTTTGAACTTAATTAAGTTAGTTTATTTGAACTCATCATTTGGTTACACTAAGATAAAATGGGTTAGGACTTGGGATAAACAAACCCTTATTACTTTATACATTTATCAAAATTTTATGTAGTGAACAACAAATAATATTAAGTCATCGTTGTATTAACATTAAATTTTCTATTAGGTTTCCACATAGGTTTGCAGATTCTCTTTTATGCATGTAGTGTACGAAAATTTTAATTCAACACAGGGTATATAATTAACCTCAAACAACCAACATCAAACCACTAACATATTTAATATATAGCTACCCCTTGTTTCTTTAAATATAATTTATTGTTACAAAAAGTTGTCCATGCACCACATACAAT